ATAGTTTTAACACAACAATAAAATCAACCTTTTTCAAAATAACAAATGAGCTTGATCTAACATCAAGCATTTTCAAAACAAACTCAATTAATCACCAACTCACTCTCAAGCATACTTACTCCACATATCAAGTTCCACTACCTATTTTGTAAGTCGAGCGCTTTTGTCTTGCCATCGACCTTACCATATACCAATAGGACCTCCCTTCCACTAGTTCAAACCATAATCGTTCTGCATGCAAATTCAAACCTCGACTAACATCGAGCATTTTATCAAAGTCAATTTAATGAATTTAATTATACTTAGACCATATTTCAATAAAGATAAAAATAGAGTTGGAATAGAGTCTTCGATTCCTCTCCTCAATTGTTTGGGCCCGTGGAGCCTTTCTTAAGTTTAAACAATTGTCTTCTCTAAAAATTTCATAACTCGATTCTACATCAAACTATTTTACAGTAAATAAAACCAAACCTATTTTCTCAATACTAAGATGAAAAAGGGAGAGAGTCAAGTCTTTGACTCCTTCTCCCGATTACTTGGGCCCGAAGAGCCTTTCTTAAGCTTCGAGTAATCATCATTCGTAATTTACTCTAACTATATCAAAGATTCTTTCATAATTAAAGGTGAAAAAGAGAGAGATTCGAATCTTCGATTCACTTTCCCGATTACTTGAACCCGAGGAGCCTTTCTTAATCTTCGAGTGATTGTCATCCAATTAAAATACCAATGCATTAATTCAACATCTCGTCCCCGTGCGATTAAAACTCTTTTCTAAAAGAACAATGTTTAGTCCCCTCTAAACATTTGTTTGTTAAAAATACATCAACCAACCGTAGTCCTACGAACTACAATGTTCTGACTTTCCCATTGCACGAGAGAATACGTAGGCACAAGGGCCCCAATCCTTTGCGAGCACCCTAATAAAAAAACCACCCATTTTCCCCCTAGAGTATAATCCTTAGAAAACAAACAAACCTAGCTAACTTTTCTCACAAATCAAATCAAGAGGTTCTCGTTGAGTACGGCGGACGTAGAGGGTGCTAACATCTTCCCTCTTGTGTAATCGACTCCCGAACCTAGAATTTGGTTGTGATGACCATTTTCTTATCTCTTTAAAGGTTTTGTCAATATTTTCCTATTCCTTCCTTGGAATGAATAAAGTTCGGTGGCAACTCTGTTCGAACGTTTCTTCCGCGTCCATCGTGAGGATCGTATTTTTTTGAGGTACGACACTTACACCATATCTTTAGAGGTATTTTTGACAGCCACTCCCAAGCATTCACATTAATCACCTTCAATTCTTTCATTTTAGCATCTCATGCTTGAATATGTGTGGCATTTGCAGCTGTCATCATTAAATCTCTAATTTGTGTGCCTCCATCGAACTTCTTTCTGAAATTGGCATATAAATGCCTAAGACAAAGTCTATGCTCTAGCCTCTCAAACATTTCTTCAAACATAAGTATCAAACCCTGCATACCAGTTTTAGACAAATAACTAGAAATTAAGGATGAAATCCAAAAAACCAGAAAATTAATAGGGATGAAATCCAAATAACCAGAAAATAAATAGGGATGAAATCCAAAAAAACATAAAAGAATTATGGATGAAAAACACCTTTTGTTGGTCAGAAATAATAATAATAATAATAATAATAATAATAATAATAATAATAATAATAATAATAATAATAATAATAATAATAATAATAATAATAATAATAATAATAATAATAATAATAATAATATCTTAGTTTACCCCATTAAAGATGCTCTAGAGCAACTTTAGCGCAGGGTTGTTAAACCAAAATTTTGTATAGCTTACGTTAATAATAAAGAATTTGCATTATAGTAGAGTTGACATAGCATCTAAGTGAACTAAAATTTAGTTCCCATTATCTATATAGTTAACGTTAATTATGTGAAATATATTATAATATTATTTATTTAATTAATAAAATATTCCAACAGCATTAAAGTAATGGCATGATATTTGAAAATAGTAACAGTCATATTATCATTTTTTTACCTTCTATAAATTCTATAGAAACTTTAATTTTTTTGACACACAATTTTACTTAATTTTTTTCTTTCCATTTCCAATCTTATTTATTTATCAAATGGATCCCAACCAATGGAATCCTTATTATAATTATTTACAAACTCCCAGTGAAAGTTCTCAAAATTTTCAAATGTGTCTGCGACCATCGCTCCTTATTGGTGACGGTTCTCAAAATCTCCAACCTTTTATGTTTCAATCACCACCATTCTTTACCGGCAACAATTCTCAATATACCCGACTGTTTATGTTTCAACCACCACCAACCATCGACGTTGTAGAGTCTCCGAACGTTGAATCAGAATCACCAATTGGGTCCACTACAGATTCTCAAGTGCCAGGCAACTCCACTCAGGATGGTCTAAAAAATATTACTTTTACGGGAGAAGGAGAACGTTCAACCCAAAAAAAACAGCGTATCAGGTTCTTAGAAGAAGAAGATAAATTGCTTATTCAAACATGCCTTAACATTTCCAAAGTTTCAATAGTCGGAGTTGACCAAAAAGCAGATAGTTTTTGGGGTAGAATCAAAGGGGGCTATAACAACTATCGTCGACCACTTATAGCGAGAGAGTGATCTACACTCAAATCTCGATGGCATCTATTGAATAAACATTGTCAATGGTTTTGCAGAAACTACAAACTAGCTGTTGCTAACAAGAAAAGTGGACAGTCTGAGACAAACGTCATGGAAGAGGCACGTCAAATTTTTGTCCAAGTGCATCAATAACGTTTCACAATGGAGCACGCGTGGAGGTTGTTGAAGGATGAACCTAAATGGAAGGGGCAAGAAATGAATAACTCTTCAAAGAGATCAAAGATATCCTCTACCGGGACATATTCATCGTCATCTAATCCAGAAAATCCCATAGATTGTTCAGAATACAACAGTGCAACTCAGACCGACCGCCTAGCAGGACAAAAGGCGGAAAAAAGGAAGGGCAAGGGAAAAGCTTCTTCGTCTAAAACACCCATAGTGGATTTGAGTGGCATGGAAAGGGCCTCAGAAAATAAATTAGCTATCTATGGTAAAATAGCTGAAGCAAAGTTGGCAGAGAGCATACCCGTGTTGTATGAAATTCTCATGAAGGACAAATCAGCAATGGATGATGAGCAACGCCGAGAGCATGAAGAAATTTGTCAAAGTATCAAGGAGAAGTACTTCAAGAGAAGCTAGTTGTATTATTATTATTATTATTATTATTTTTATTATTATTATTATTATTGTTGTTGTTGTTGTTGTTGTTTAGGTTTGAATATGCATTTCATATTATTGTAATTTTGTTTTAAATGATTGTTATTTTAATTTTGTATCTATGCTTCAAATTAGCTATGTAAAACTAGTCGTTATAAAAAAACTAGCCGTTGTAAAACTAGTTGTTATAAAAAACTATCGGTTGTAAACTAGCCGTTATAAAACTAGTCGTTGTAAACTAGCCGTTATAACGCGGCACGCGGCTTTCCAGGTATGTTGGGTTCAATTGATTGTATGCATTGGGAATGGAAAAATTGTCCTGTCGCATGGAAAAGTCAATTTTCTAGAGGTGATCATGGTAAACCCACAATCATACTTAAAGCTGTAGCATCTCAAGACTTGTGGGTTTGGCATGCATATTTTAGAACTGCGGGTTCTAACAACGACATTAATGTGTTAAACACGTCTGATGTGTTTAATGATGTTTTGAATGGAAAAGCTCCTGCAGTACAATACTCGGTGATTCGAACAGCATATCATATGGGGTACTACCTAGCTGATGGCATTTATCCTGAGTGGGCAACATTTGTCAAGACCATACCTATACCGCAAGGAGAAAACAGAAAGTTATTTGCCCAACGACAAGAATCAACACAGAAGGATGTTGAACGGGCATTTTGAGTGCTCCAAGCCCGATTCGCTATTGTACGTGGTCCAGCGCGTGCCTGGCATGTGAATACAATGAAACACATAATGTTAGCATGTATCATATTGCATAACATGATTGTCAAAGATGAGCGAGACACATATGCTGGTAATTTTGATTACGACCATGTTGATAATAATTTCTCCACAACTGAAGTATCTACTGGTCCAATTCTCAACTTGACAACAATGTTTGAAAGGATAGCACATGTTCATCAAAGGCAAAATCATCGCCAACTTCAAGCAGACTTGGTGGAACATATTTGGGAGAGATTTGGTCATGAGAACAACGAAAGTTAGTTTTTCCTACTTTATATTTCTGTTAAAATATAATTTATTTCTTATTGTCATGTATTATTTTATATTCCTATGAAAATGTAATTTTTTTTCTGTATTATTGTTGTGAATTTTGTATCATTTTTAATTTTATAATAAAATATATTTAATATTGTTTCTAAGTTTTTAAGGTAAATTTTATTTAAAAAATTGTATGCATTTTAATTAAAATAATTAAATTAATGGTAACATGAATAAAAAATATAAAATGTGGGGTCAAGTTTTGGTTTCTTATAGACAACCATCATTAAAGTAAAAACTACTCAAATCAACTATAAATTTTTTAAATCCTACAAAACACTTTGGACCCACAAAAAATTTCTTAGTTTACCCATTTAGTTTACTCCCATTAAAGATGCTCTAGAGCAACTTTAGTGTAGGGTTGTTAAACCAAAATTTCGTATAGCTTAAGTTAATAATAAAGAATTTGCATTATAGTAGAACTGACTGGCATCTAAGTGAACTAAAATTTAGTTCCCATTATCTATATAGTTAAAGTTAACTATGTGAAATATATTATAATATTATTTATTTAATTAATAAAATATTCCAACAACATTAAAGTAATGACATGATATTTGAAAATAGTAACGGTCATATTATCATTTTTTACCTTCTATAAATTCTATAGAAACTTTAATTTTTTTACACACAATTTTACTTCTAAATTTTTTTCTTCCCATTTCCAATCTTATTTATTTATCAAATGGATCCCAACCAATGGAATCCTTATTATAATTATTTACAAACTCCCAGTGACAGTTCTCAAAATTTTCAAATGTGTCCGCGACCATCGCTCCTTATTGGTGACGGTTCTCAAAATCTCCAACCTTTTATGTTTCAATCACCACCATTCTCTACCGGAAACAATTCTCAATATACCCGACTGTTTATGTTTCAACCACCACCAACCATCGACGTTGTAGAGTCTCCTAACGTTGAATCAGAATCACCAATTGGGTCCACTACAGATTCTCAAGTGCCAGGCAACTCCACTCAGGATGGTCTAGAAAATATTACTTTTACGGGAGAAGGAGAACGTTCAACCCAAAAAAAACAGTGTATCAGGTTCTTAGAAGAAGAAGATAAATTGCTTATTCAGACATGCCTTAACCTTTCCAAAGTTTCAATAGTCGGAGTTGACCAAAAAGCAAATAGTTTTTGGGGTAGAATCAAAGGTGGCTATAACAACTATCGTCGACCACTTATAGCGAGAGAGTGGTCTACACTCAAATCTCGATGGCATCTATTGAATAAACATTGTCAATGGTTTTGCGGAAACTACAAACTAGCTGTTGCTAACAAGAAAAGTGGACAGTCTGAGACAAACGTCATGGAAGAGGCACGTCAAATTTTTGTCCAAGTGCATCAATAACGTTTCACAATGGAGCACGCGTGGAGGTTGTTGAAGGATGAACCTAAATGGAAGGGGCAAGAAATGAACAACTCTTCAAAGAGATCAAAGATATCCTCTACCGGGACATATTCATCGTCATCTAATCCAGAAAATCCCATAGATTGTTCAGAATACAACAGTGCAACTCAGACCGACCGCCCAGCAGGACAAAAGGCTGCAAAAAGGAAGGGCAAGGGAAAAGCTTCTTCGTCTAAAACACCCATAGTGGATTTGAGTGGCATGGAAAGGGCCTCAGAAAATAAATTAGCTATCTATGGTAAAATAGCGGAAGCAAAGTTGGCAGAGAGCTGATAACACGAAATCATATAGATATTTTTATGCATAATTCAACTAAAGTCTAACCGTTTTCGATCCGATTTCGGGTTATTTCCGTGTATTTGTCTGATGTTTTGCAGGTATTCAACGATCACGTCTAAACAAGGCAACATGAAGAAAATAAGCAATCTCAGATGAAATATGGACGAAAAAGGAGTGAAAATACAATGAAAAGCGCAGCAACCAGTTTTTGCTGATGTGACGACTGTCACAGCTTCATGACGACCGTCACACGGGTGACGACCGTCACACCTTGTGACGACCGTCATGCAGGCAAAAACGCCCCACTCAGATTACACGTCAAAAGAGCAGTTCCAATTCCCATTAAGTGGACCACTACTCCCTAAATTATCTGCCTCAAGGTCCATCATCCTCAGAGATAACCGTTGGGATTCCACTTCTATAAAAAGGGAAGCAGGGAACTTCAGAAAGGGTGCTGCATTCATACCACGAAGTGCTGCCGAATTTAATTTCCAGAGCAACTTACTTTCCAGTTTTTATTTGTATTCATTTCCCTTTACATTTCCTTATTCCCATTTCCGCTCTTTTGGAATTTCTATTGTACTGTACGATCAATTTGGAACTAAAGACCAGAATCCTGCCAACATCTGTGGAGGATCTGCCCAAAGGCCAATTGGCATATTTACAGGTTTTCATTTTGATCGACTTCTGTTTTATTATAATGCAATTTATTATTTATTATTCTTATTTATGTTTTGTTTTTCCCAATTCCATGTCTAGCTAAACTTAGGTAATCGATATGTAGTAATAATTCGAATGGGATTTGATAACTCTTGTTTGAAAACTTTCTTTTCACAAAAGTAAATTATGGTCTGAGTGTTTAAAATTGATTCACGAAATAAACTTCGTCGCGAAAGCGAGAACTTATTTAAAAGTAGTTTTGCCACGAAAGTGTGAAATTAATTAAGATACGAACCAACAAGCGAAAGCTGCGGTAAGGTCAGATAGTAAACACTAGGCATTTGTTTTAATAACAGCGAAAGCACTTTAAAATGAATTAGAACTTAGATATTTCCAAAAAATGATTTTAACCCCGAACGGGATACGAAAGTATACGTTTGGCCCTTAGGATTATGATTAGCGTCAACAACCATCGTGAGACGAGAGTCTTCGAATCTCCATTTTCTGCTTAAATAAACTGTGAAAACTATTTCATACACCAATAATTTATCAAATCCCTGAAGAACACAATTACTACGTATCGATTCAATTAATTAAAATCTAAATAGTAATCTTAGTTCCCTCTTTTAGTGACAATCTTATTCCCTTAAAACATATTCTACCTAGCTAAACATAGTAACTCCCTAGAACACTAGTTTGATTACGAGTCCCTGTGGGATCGATATCTATTATTACTACGCGATAGACTGTGCACTTGCAGTTAGTTGTATTAGACATAGAAAGTCGCAATCAAGTTTTTGGCGCCGTTTCCAGGGACCCGTTTAGTCAATAGTGTAACCTTCTGTTACGCCATATAGACTAGGTTAACAATTTTCATTTTTCCTTTACTAGTTCTGTCGATTGTATGCCAAGAAATCGCCCGCAAAGCGATATCGTAAAACCTTCAGTCGCAGAACTAGAACGCTTCTTACATTTAAAAAGTAGAATCATTGAGTACCAACTCAAACAACTCAAACATAACACTCCCGAACCTCTCACTCCCATTCCCAAATCAGAAGAAGAAGAACCAGAGATGGCTGAAGGACCTCCGAACAAACCGCTGAAGGCATACGCTACACCATCTCAGGTGGAGCCTAGAAGTAGCATTGCTGCCCCAGCTATTACCCGAAACGATTTTGAGCTGAAACCATCATTGTTGTCGGCTGTACAACAAAACCAATTCTCATGAAATGCAACTGAGGATCCGAACGAACATCTAACGAAGTTTGTACAATACGCAGACACAGTGAAAGCAAATGGAGTAACTCCAGACGCGATAAGACTTCGTCTTTTCCCATCCTCTCTTAGAGACAGAGCATGGACATGGTTACAATCGTTACCATCCAACTCCGTTACGACGTGGGAGCAACTGAAGAATGTCTTCTTAGCGAGATATTTTCCGCCAAGCAAAACTGCTATGCTTAGAGCTCAAATCAACGGATTTCGACAGAAAGATACTGAATCTCTTTACGAAGAATGGGAACGATTCAAAGATATGATGAGAACATGTCCTCACCACGGTCTAGAAGACTGGGTGACAATCCATACTTTCTATAATGGGCTTCTATACAATACTAGATTGACAATAGACGCTGCCGCGGGCGGTGCACTTATGGATAAGCCATACGATGAAGCCTATCAATTAATAAAAAACATGTCACAAAACCATTGCCAATGGGGAGGTGAACGCACTCCAACTGAGAAAACCACAGCGAAAGGTGGGATGTACGAAATCAGCAGCCTTGAAAAGTTCAATGCTAAAGTAGATGCTCTAGCACAGAAAATCGATAGTCTGACCGTTAACCCCACTGCAACTGTCGCTGCAGTAACTCCAAATTGCGAGTTATGCGGAAGCACCACTCATAATGCACCCGAATGCCCATTGCTAGCCGGAATCCCGCCAGACCAGGTAAATTATGCTCAAGGAAATCCCTACGCAAATACCTACAACCCAGGTTGGCGAAATCATCCAAACTTTTCTTACAAAAGCGAAAATGCATTGCAAATGCCTACTGCTCCGCAAGGATATCAGAAACCAGCTGCTCAGAATGCACCTAGGAAATCAAACCTCGAATTGATGATGGAAAAGTTCATAGCTACTAAAGCTCAAACGAACAAAGAGTTCCTGAATCAAAACATACACACTAGCGAGCAAATTAAACAGTTGACAGGAAAAGTAGACGCTTTAGCCACCCACAACAAAATGTTAGAAACTCAGATATCACAAGTGGCTCAACAGCAAGCATCTGCTTCCGCACCTACTGGCACATTTCCTGGACAACCCGAACAGAATCCCAAAGGCCAAGCAAATGCTGTGATACTAAGAAGTGGAAAAGAATTGGACGAACCGATCGATCCGAGGACCGAAAACTCAGCCATGCAACAAAAACCAACTGAACAAGCAGAAAAGGAATCTGAGTTAGAGAAGAAGGAGGACAACGAGAAGGAGGATACCGCAAGTGAAAAACCTCAAGCACCTCCAGCGCCATATAAACCACCTATCCCTTATCCGCAAAGACTAATAAACTCTAAAACTTCAGGACAGTTTAAGAAATTTGTAGAGCTCCTTAAACAGCTGAATGTCACTATTCCTTTTACAGAAGCAATAACTCAAATGCCGTCATACGCTAAATTTCTCAAAGAGATCCTGTCGAATAAGAGAAAGATCGAGGATAACGAAACAGTTACACTTACTGCAAAGTGTGGCGCTATTATTCAGAACCGCATGCCTCCTAAATTAAAAGACCCAGGTAGTTTCTCCATACCCTGCGTCATAGGAAAGTTCGTAATAGACAAAGCTCTATGCGATTTAGGAGCTAGTATCAGTGTTATGCCCTTATCTATATGCAAAAAGCTGAATATGGGAGACCTCAGGCCAACCAAAATGTCCGTACAATTAGCTGACAGATCAGTAAAATACCCAGTCGGAATACTGGAAAATGTTCCAGTACGCATAGGACAATTCTACATTCCAACCGACTTCATAATCATGGACATCAAGGAGGACACTGTAACCCCAATTATCCTAGGAAGACCGTTCCTAGCTACAGCCGGAGCCATTATAGACGTGAAGAAAGGAAGGCTAACATTCGAAGTAGGAGAAGAAAAGATAGAGTTCATTCTCACCAAGTTCTTACAAGCACCAGCAATAGACGATACCTGCTATTTAGTAGATGAAATTGACGAATGCATAAGAGAACTTGAAAATGAAGAGACCACGTATTCAGAAATAATAAAGATTCAAATACCCAACATTTCTGAAGACGATAATTGGCGTAAACCGTATAAAGACGACAGCCTAAGCGAAAGCTTAGCACTGACCCCAAACCATATGCCAGGTCCGAAAAACCCATCTTTAGAACTTAAAACACTACCCAAAAACCTCAGATATGAATTTCTAGACGATGAACTAAAAAGACCAGTGATAATCAACGCCGACTTAGGACAACCAGAAACCAAAAAGTTATTAGAAGTCCTAAAGAAGTACCCCACTGCGTTAGGCTATAACATAAGCGATTTAAAAGGTATAAGCCCTTCAATCTGTATGCATCGAATTACAATAGAGGAAGACTCTAAAACCTCTCGAGAGCATCAGAGAAGACTGAACCCCATCCTGAGCACTGTAGTCAGAGATGAAGTAAAGAAATTACTAGATGCAGGAATCATCTATCCGATCTCCGATAGTGAATGGGTTAGCCCAGTTCATGTCGTACCAAAGAAAGGAGGAGTCACGGTAGTTAAAAACGAAAAAGGCGAATCAATAACAAAAAGAGTCGTGACTGGAAGTAGGATGTGTATTGATTATAGGAAGCTTAACAAGGCTACGCGCAAAGATCACTTCCCGCTACCCTTCATAGACCAAATGTTGGAAAGATTAGCCAAACATTCATATTTCTGCTATCTAGATGGTTACTCAGGATTCTTCCAAATTCCCATCCATCCTGATGACCAAGAAAAGACTA